TCTGAGGGGCCGAGCAACTGCTCAAGAGGTTTAGACTTCACAGACTCCTCACAGGAGGCGCATGGCTGCCTGGCCTCCTCCCACCCCGATGCCTAGGCGCCGGGCAGAGAGGCAAAAGCCCCAAGGCACGTGCTACTTGCATTAGTGCAGAGAAAACCCCATCCCAAGTCACAGGGACACAAAGAAGGGGGTCTGTGCAGCAAGGCTGTTTGCGAGCCTCAGAGGCTGACCCTTCCAGAAGGCCCAAGCCCCCACATCAGTGTCCCTTCTGACCCCTGGCCACCTGTCTTTAACAATAAAACCCCCATGACAGTGTGCTGTCTGCACTGTGTCCTTGGGGGAATGGAAGAGGACCGCAGCGGTGGTCTAGCTGTCTAAAAAAGAAAGACATTAACATTAATCAATTATCTACCAAGTACCAAGCATTGCAGAAGTGTAGAGACCAATACTCCTACTTTATAGACATGCCACTCAGCACACCAAAGTGATTCTTCAAGTCTCGCTGTGAACAGGGAAAGCAGGGATTTGCACCCAGGCCTGAAGCAACCAATTTTGCTCCTGGAGCAATTTTTCTGAACACTTTTAACTGCTGCCCCTGCCTCCTTGTCATCCCTTCTTCATCCTAAGGGCCAAACTTCCCAAGATGGGAATAAAAGATAGTAACTCAACTTACCGGAAAGCTAGGAGGAAAAAAGTTGAGAAAAAGAGGAAGGGATACACACAAACACGTATGTATGTATGTATGTATGTATGTGTATATGTATGTAAATCCATATTGGCTTTTTTCCCCCATACTTAGTTATAAACACATGTATTAACTCTCCACAGAAAGGCTGGGAGCATCCATTCACATTGGCCAGAAATGTGGCTTCCATTGTATTTACCATTTTAACAAAGTCCGTGATCATAAGGGATTTGGGGATTTGGAAGGTCCCACCAAGAGGATGAAATGGGACCTCTCTTCCACCCGGTTTAAGACCCCTGGAGACAGAAGTCAGGGCCACCCCCACCTCTGCCGTCTCTGGAGGAGTTCTCACGGCCATTCCTAGGTCCTGCTCCACCATGAGCTCAGTAAGTCAAGCTCAGCAGCAGAACTGCCCACTCCCAGCCCCGGACTGGGGGCATTTCACAGACGCTGCAGCCCAGTTAGTGGGGCTCCCTTGTGTTCCTTCAAGAGGAAGGAGACACAAGCTTAAGTCACCACACAGGCCCCTATCTGACTCGAAGGTGGGGGAACAATTGCAAAGGAGACACAGGAGCAAGTCTCAGCAGCCATGAAGGGGCCAAGGCTGAGACTGGGCAAGGAAGGAAGAGGCACCAGTGGAGCAGGAGGAGCGAGCTATGACGTGCACCCTGGACCCACAGAGCAAGCTAGGGAAGACAGCCCCAGAGAGACTCAGTCTAGGCTTTTCATGGTAAAGGCCTAGTTACAACTACAGTGAAAGGTGTTTGAGCTTTTTCAGGCAGAATATGCAGAATTCCTCCCTTATGGGGAGAAAGCAAGAGCTAGAAAAACCAGTCACCACCCTAATTCTTAGGGTTGGCAGTTACAGGAACCTGTTGTTCATTTCTCCATGCGAGAAGACAATCCAGGCCATCAGAATCCTCTCCCTGAAAGGAAGGGGTGCCACAAAACAAGGAAGGCCCCGGCTCCCCCAGAGGGGCTGTGGCTCACTAAACCTCTAGAAGAGGCCGCTTTCCGCCTTGTTTCACACTGGGAAGTGACAGGGTGGGTTTGTTTCTTTGGCTTCTTCCCACCTAACCCCAAAGCCCAGGGCGCAATCTCCCATCCGTGGACGTGACACCCTTGTACGAGGCTCCAATAAGTGGCCGTTTTGGGGCCACATTAGCTTTTTTAACTTTTGATATTACACATAACCCTGTCCCTGCTGTACCAGGAAGCCATTTCACTCATCTGTCTGGGAAGATGATCCAATTTTGGTCCTTTTATCATCAATGCTTTCAGCAACTTTGTTCTACTTCCCCTACTGTAATTACTTTTGAATCATCAACACACCCAGCCAGCCTTAAAGCTCCGAGAATAGAATACTAAAAAAGAAAAGAATAAAAAAGTACCAAAAAACTTGCAATGGTAAATAACTTCACTAAAAACCACCCAAGCTAGAGGCAATTTTTTTCTCTCTAGAGATTTACTTTTTAATAAACTGCCTCAATACTTTCTCCCCTTTTTCTAAAAGGAGGCAGAGCCTAGAGATGGGACATGGTGGAGAGCGGGGAGGGCAAGGAGCAATTTATTAGCTTCTTAAGGAGATAAATAAAACATCTGCTCCCCACCCCCACTTTTCTTTTCTTCTTTTTTTTTTTTAAAAGTAGGTGGGATTTGTTTGTTAAGTGATGAGGGACTCTGAAAGTTGGCCTGCTGGTTGCTGGGTGCCCAAGCAGCCTAGGAAGAAAGCATGTCTTCTCTGGAATGCAGTCAAATTACATGGCGGGAGAGAGAGTCCCATGGCTGTTGGCTTCAGAATTCAGATTCCTCCAGGGATAAGTCTGAAGGACAAACCATACACAAAAAACCCGTAACTCCAAGAAAATTCAACCAACATCAGCAGCTGAGCACTGTCAACAAGCCAGCTGCTTGCTTTCTGCTGTCATCTATTCTGCTCCCAGCCACCAGCCCTACTGGGTGAAACTTCTAGCTCTGATTTGTAAGTTGCCCCTTCAGCAGTCCCGCTTCCCCTCAGTCCTGGTGTGGTCCCCTGTCCAGGAAGGCACCCTCCTGAGCCCCTAGGAAGAGAGGACCAGAGTGGGGACACTCAGGGCCGCTCTTTCCTCTTTTCATCACAGTGCTCCCTCTGGAATCCTTCCACATCCACATTTGCTCATTTCAGGCTAGCTCTTGGAGTCCTTTCCTGGGATGAGGTTGGGAAGAGAGTGAGAAGAGTCAGGAATGAGGTTATAAGGACAGAAAGCCTATTCTCTTAAGACCTCAGCACAGCTGAGCAGCCAGCAGACAGGTGAAGTTGCAGCTTGGTTCGTGATGCAGCCAGGAGAGCAGGAAGTCAGGGGCTTTTTAAAGGTTTGGGATCTGAGCAGGCAAGGCTTATTTAAAGAAAAGCCAGTGATGCAGGAAGCACACACTACCCTTCCCGGCTATTTCACCAGGAGAATTAGGGAAAGGCTGAAACCACCAGCCAAGCTTCTTCATCTCTAGGCAAGTTGGGGGAGCTCCTTGGGACCACGAACCCCAGAAATAAGTGATCTGCTGACTAATGATGCCGAATAGGGACATGTGGGGCTACAGCAAGCCCCAGAGCTGGCCTCCCACCAGGCTCTAGGCCTCAATATGTTCAATTACTGAGCACGGGCCTTTCATGCCCAGTTCTAGGGGGGTCGGGGGGAGGGCAGTAACGCTCCGAATTTGGTCCCAAGAGCATGCTCTCCTCAGCCTCAGGGCCAGGTGGCCCCAGTCCTGGAAGTTCTCCAGGAAAAAAAAAAAAAAAGACGCTAGTCCTTACTCCCCGCGGAAATTCTGTCCGCTATTTTAGACACATTCCTCAAGGCCCTAAGAGGAGCATAGGGGAGGGGGACAGAGTTTCGGGGCCTTCACCCGGACCAAACTCAGAGATCCCACCCTCGGGCCCAACCTTCCCCCCGCCCCCAGGAGAGGCCTCCGCCTCCTCCCGCTCCCGCCCCCAAGCCCACCCCAGAGAGGGCCCGAGACCCTCCTCGTGTCTCCACCTGACCCGCAAGAAGGCGGGGGCCACGAGCCGCTGCCCACGGAGAACTCGCACT